AAGAGAGAGAAACGATTAATAGGCTGAGAGAAATCTTCGCATCGGAAGACGTGTTCATACACAGACTTTACGCCATTCGATTTAACAACGGATACGCCGGGCTTTGGTCTAGGGGCTGTACTATAACAGAACGGCTGCCCAATCACAATAATATCACGTGCCTTATGCAACTGCAAAAAGAATTACGCAATTAACGAGCGAGAGCTCCTCGCCATTGTTTGGCCACTAAAAAACCTCCGGAATTACCTATACTGAGTAAAAGGCTTACAGATCTTTACTGATCATAAGCCAGTTACCTTTTCTATCTAGGAAAATGCAAAGCTAAAGCGCTGGAAGGGGACTATTGGCGATCATGGCGCAAAACTGGTTTATAAACAAAGAAAACCTCGAAGCGTTATCTCGCCAAAACATAAACGCCCTAGAGGACGTACAGGAATCAGATGCAGCCACCATACATAGCGAACAGTCGTTAACATACACTATCGATACAACTGAAAATCTGCTAAATACGTTACAGGAGGTTGTAAACGCCGAAGTTGTGAACGCAATACACTGCTCCTTACAAACCTTGGCATTTATCTAACACCGGATTGTTGTAACAGAACACAACCGGGCTCACCAAGCAGCACAAGGATATGTGAAAATATTCTTAGGGATTACTTTTTTCCCGAAAATGCAGCAGTTGGCAAAAGAAATAACATTGAACTGCAAAACCTGTTTCATGACTTAATACAAACGACATCCGGCTAAACAGGCGGTAGCAGAAAACCCCATACCTTCTTTCGTGGGGGAAATTTTACATATTGATATTTTCTCAACAAATGAAACCCTTTTCCTCACATGCGTTAATAAATTCTCGAAGTTCGCCACAGTGCAAACCATCGCATCGAGGGCAATTGTGGACATAAAAGCCCCATTACTACACATAATAAATTTCTTCCCGAAAATAAACCACAGAATATCAGTTATTACAACAAATGTCAGGAAAAAACGTAAGTTGGTGGCTTCCCTAAAAATCCATGATAGGCCGCTTAACTTAATTGAGACAGCTTTAAAGGTTATTGCAGGCACACCTGACTTTAGTGATTGAAAGCCAATAAGGTTCAATAAGAGCAATTAATGAGAGAAGGGCATCGGAATTAAATATAAAATTTCAAGAAAGTTTGAACGAACTTGTAAACGCGATGAACCAAATTTAAAAATTTGAAACAAATAAAGAAACACACTTTTTGAAAATCATTTTACCAAAAGAAAGAACCGTCATCACTGCTTCGGCAAAATTAAATATTTTAAGCCCTGCAATTCTAGATAGCTCCGACATTGACGAATTTAAGGACAACCAGCCTATTAACATTAGTTTGATAGAAATATGATAAGTATCTAGTATAAGTGTTTTTCAAAATTGCGAAATCCTTAATTTTCTGTAGGAAAACAACGGTCTATCCGGTCTAGCACCACAATAAGATCCTGGACTTCGAAAACAAAAACCTAGTTGCTAAGTGCTCAACCCGAAATCTCAACAGCGGGTATTGCAAGACGACTGTCGACACCACCTTCTGCAAGCAGCTCCCAAATGGCACGTGCGCCCAAACAAACAGGGTGGGTCTCAACGGAACTTGGTTCGTAAACCAGCTGGGAAGGTCGATGTTTAAACCCGCTGGGTCGGCCAAGGCTGTGGTCAATATCACTACTCACCAAAACCGGCTAAGTCTCCCTTTTCTTCACGAGCTAAGTCTAAGGGTTCCTTCCTCACCTGACCCTTGCCCTACTCGCCTTCTTCCTGCTGTGCTCTACCGTATGACTCGGCTATCACCATCTGAGAACCAGAGGTCAAACTAAACCAGGAACCAGCGGCGATGTAGAACGAGCGGGTCACCGGAACGGCCACTTAAAGGGGGGAGAAGTTAACAGTTAACGGCAGATTCCACACTCCGGGGGCAATTGACCGGATTTTGGCCAGAACACTCGGTAAGGAAATGATCGCTACTGCAGCTACGGCAGCGCTGCGATTAGGCAGAGGCCTCGAGCTGCAGCCTTAGCTGTGTTTAATTAAATATATTCTTTGTAATAACATTAGTCTTAACCGACTCGGACCTGCAGAGCGTACAGCTTTTAAGTGAGGAGGAAGAAAGCTTTTTTTGCTTGCCGGCACCAGCTCCATGCGTAGGGACGAGCCAAAGTGTTTAAGCAAGGGAAAGAAGGCAAAGGCGCAGTATAAAGCTGTCCATCGCATCCAGAGCCGGCTTCAGACAAGTTGCCCTATCCGAAAAGAAGGTAAAGACTACACTTCGTCAAGCTTCCTAACATGGCATCAACGGCCGGTTTCGCCAACAAGGTGGAGGAGATGCTTGCCACCAAGCGGCAACGCTCCGCCGAGTGCCGAAAAGACACTCCTGGGAGCAAGCGGCAACACGTGCCCAAGGAAGCAGGCAGCAGGAAGGTACTGCACATTAGGAACCCGTTACCCACAGAGTGGCCCCCCTCCAGATTAGCAAGGAGGCAGAGCACATCCAGTATCCCAAATACGGGAAGATGGCATGGGGCATGAGTAGCGTATACCTGTGCCTCAAAAAGCGCCGTCCCGGGGATAATGATGACCACACCCTGAAGGCAGACGAGGTGGAAAAAGTCCTAGGTCTGCAAACCACTGTTGACGCCGCCCAGGAATTGACGCTGAATGAGTCCGAAGAGGAAAAAGACGGTGACCTGACGATAGTAGTCAACCCGTCGAGTGGAGTTGAGCCCGGTACCCATGTCCGTAAGTGTGCTGCAGCTCAATCTCCATAAGAGCAAGGTCGCGACGGCGGAACTCCTCAATGGCTTGGAGCAAAGGTCCGAGGTAGCTCTAGTCCAAGAGCCATGGATTGCCTCGAGCAATGCGTCGCCGGACTAAAGTCCTCAAGCTATCGGTAAGCAGGAAGGGTCTCCAAGCTAACCTTATTTCTTATTACAGCTCGGACTGTGGTGTTGCTAGAAAGCAAGAAGAAGCGCCTACTGGTAGCTTCCTGCAACATGGCACACGATGGGCCACCTCCAGCGGAAAAACTCAGGAGCCTGGTAGAACCCGGCCGAAGGACTAGCAACTGATCGTGGGTGCAGACGAAAGACGCAGACGCCAATGCCCCGACATAAACGACAGAGGTGAGTCACTCTTAGACTTTATTCTTTCTACCAATTTATATATCGCAAAGGTGGAGGAGGAACACACCTTTTTAGGCCCCACCTCGTCCAGCGTGCTAGATGTAACACTTGTAGCGTATAAAGTATAAAGGTGTCAGACTGGAAGGTCCAGGAGAGACCATCCTTTTCAGACCACAGGTACATACAGTTCCAATGCGAATACGATCACTCTCCAAAACCAACAGTCTTTAGAAACCCCCGGAACACTAACTGGGGAAAGTTTAAAGAAATAATCTCTCTTAAACTAGCGACTTGTCCGGGCACAGTAAAATCCGATGAATATCGGATAGATATAGAAAAGTTCTTAGAGACTCTCTCAAAGGAATTATTAGGCGCATATCACGCATCATGCCCGATTTTAAGAAGCCAGAAAAGGACCGATAACCTCAGAGAATTCATCAAACTCGCCAAGCTGGCGATGACGAGGAAAAAACAAAATCCTGCTAAGGAATTACAAGAAGGACATACGCAGGTCGCAAAAAATCTCTTGAAGAAACTTCTGCTCCAACATAGAGACGGCCGCGGAAACGGGTAGACTACAGAAGTTGCTTTCAAAGCAACCCACCACACAGAGTCAGCTCAAACGTGACGACGGACAGTGAACTGAGGGCTGTGAAGAGGCCCTAACAGCACTAATGCACGCGCACTTTCCACGTTTCACAGGGATCACAGATGCCAACGAGCACCAGGTACTAACAATATGCGCTCGGAGTCTTTGTAGACATATCCATATCAACAATGTAAGCACAGACGCAATAATGGAGCGACCAACATGCACCCCGCCGTCAACTTTTAAATTGCAGACACTTACAATCGGGTTCGGGTTCGGGAGGAAGGCCCCGAAGATAACACTCTATGCTGAAAACCCTTAGTTCGATCATTGAATCAACACTTAGGGAGATATGGGAGTGGAAGGACAAGTTAGGACTTAATATCAATGCGGATAGAACGGACCTCATTCTCTTCACAAAAAGATAAAAGGTACCGCCATGAATCCCCCCAAAAATCAATACAACCAGGCTGACCCCGAAAACACAAGTCAAATACCTTGGTACTGTAACATACTAGATGGCATGGAAACCTAATGTATTAGAGAGGGTGAACAAGGCCACCATTGCGTTATATGCATCCAGGAAGACTCTCAGCAGCACAAGGGGTCTCTCGCGAGCCCTGATGCACTGGGTCTACAGATCGGTGGTGCGTCCGAGTTCTTAGAGTGGTGAAAAGTCATGGAAAAGAGGACCTACAAAAAGCTTATGGAGAGAACCCAGCGGCAGGCACTGCTCTACATATCTGGGCCCTGAGGTCAACCCCCACAAAAGCTCTAGAGACCATAATTGGAATTGATCCCCAGGATATCCACGCGCTGAACTGACTGCGGGAAAGGCTGCACAACGCCTAGTAGAGCTAGAAAATATGTCGCCACAGGGAATCAGGCATATCTCAATTGGTCGAACCATCGGAAGGGGTGGGCACTCGAATACGCCTTCAATCTCTTCGAGTCTTCGACGATTATTAAGGTTAAAGTACCTCGCTGTTATGGAAGCAACCAGGTTTTCAGTACGACGAGGACACCAAATTACGCATCTACTTGGATAGAGAACTGTTGTCCAACAGCAAATGGGATATCAGCAGGTAAATGTCGGTCGCCAAATAACACTGGGCTATTGGAACGCCTGCAATAAAGATGGGACTGCCACATAATGCAGATTGCCGAAACTGCAAGCAAACGACGAAGTAATAGAAAGTGGTTTAAAAAAAAAACTCTGCGATAACTGGAAATGTAAAAATGTAAAATTTACAATGTTTATTTCACTTACTGCTAACATAAGCGGTTTGTAAGTTGGCTGAGCAAAGACCAATCCGTCCAGATTTTCCAAATGGCAAAAGTAACATACTGCTCACTGGGGTGTTGGAAAACAGCTTATTATCTCCTGAATTATCCATAGTCACTGCTGTACTATCTTCAACAACTTGTGGAGAGGCGCTGTTATTCGAACCTCCTGTATTGTAGGCACTTGATGAGTTGTCAACTTCTTCTTCTTGTGTAAGAACCAACTTGTTTCCTCCATTAATATTATTATTACGAGCATAACCACTGCTGCTGGATCGACTTGTTGTGCTGCGTAAGGTAAAGACTCTGCTGCAAGTGGCAGTAGGCTTCGATATCGGCGTTGGACGATTAGCCACTAGAGAGGGAACAGTTGTCTTTGGCGATTTTAGGCCCAGCCATTGGGCAACACGTTCCGTTTGTTGTTGCTTTGCTGAAGTTTCCAATACTTCTGAAGATGTCGTTCCTATTTTAGTTATATAGTTGGAACTTTGATAGGGTGAACAGTATAAGGGTTCTGATTCCGAATCTTCGGGAATTGTCTCATAAATATGTTCGCTCTCATCGTAATCATTTTTCGAAACTCGAATATTAGTTGACTGATCTTTTTTTCTATCGAGGAAAACGTCTTTGCTAAGTGGTTCCACTATCTTTTTTGGCAGACGAGAGTTGGTTGTTGATGAATTTTGTTGCTCAAGTAGAGTTTTCTGTTTTGGTTGTGTTGTTGAAAGACCTCCTTTACCAGATAATTCTTTAAACTGATGAACGTGACTTAGCAGGACTTTATCCAACTTATCCACAACATTAGTGTAGTCATCGGGTAAAAAATTAGTATTGGCATATTCAAAATTACTCTCAATGTCGTCTTCATCATCGTCTTCGTCTTCCTATAAAAGATATGGAGGAAAAATGAAAATCTGTGAATGTAAAACTGTAAATATAACATGTATAGATGAATGAAATGAAAGCAGGTATTACTTCATTGTTTTTTAACATAAATATATATAATTTATATTGTATTGATTCCTACTCATCGAAGTTAGCGTGCCGAAGTTAGCTTCCTTTCTTGTTAAAAATGCGTTTGCCAACATTACGACTATCGACAAAATTATAATTGGTGGTGTATATCTGAATTTAGTTTTAATTTGCCCCTTATACAAAGTTATTTTAATTTACATATAACTTATTAACAATAGTTTGCTCTATATAAATCAATATCAGTTATATGATTTTAGTAAAAAACCTAACAGTTGTTAGTGTTTTTAAAGCAGCGCTTTCGCGCATCGGCTTGAGTTAGAAGCTATTTAGAATTAATGGCAACTCAGACATTGGCAAAAAAGCAGCCATTACATTACTTTTCTGGTTTGCAAAGTTCTCCTTCGATGACGTCCAGGTTCTTCTGGTGTGCCTCTTGTTGTCGCTATTCTGATGATGTAATTTATTAGCCTTCTGTTTTGGAGGAGATTGATCCATCATCCACTTCTTTTCTCACTTGTTGATAGCTTTTTTTTTTCTGGAGTGCCCTGTACTCAGCTATTTTGAGGGTAGGGAGTTTATCGTTTGCACACACCTCTAGAGCTTCTTTAAGGCTCGGTGCATCCTTTTGGTCGACAGGAGCAGCATCCTCAAACTCAGCGTTGTTCATATGTAATATTTAAACACTCTCCATCGGCGATGTAAGGAGCGGATTGCCACTCACACGGTTCAGTTTTTTTCCCCTTTTTTTTAAATTATTTTCGGCGGTTTAGCAAGGCTTCCTTTTTAGGTCCTGGGCTCACTTTTAGGGTGCTGTTGTCTTAAAGTTTTTTAGCCTTTGGCTAACTTTTTATGGTTGTCTCAGGAGCAACATTTTTTTTTTTAGACATTTAATTCACTTTTGATGTATCTTTGCTTGAATAAATATTCTTGGTATTAGCTTCGCAGTCCCGTTTCTTTTTTATTGCCTCACCACACGCTGCTGTGAACCCGATACGGCTGCATATGCATTTGTGTGGCAAATTTTTGTTCCCACCGTACCCCTCACCATGTCACTGCTTCACAAGGCAGCAGCTCGGTTCGACGAGCTGACAAACATCGTTGCATGACAAATGCCTCCATTGGCAAAATAGCTTGAGCTTTCTTTATCAGTGGGATTTAACTTTGACACATATGAGCTCTCCATTCCTACAGTATAGAGAAAATATACGATACACTAGCGACTCAGAGTCTGATAGTGAAGGGCCCCGGCGTACTTCTACCCCAATACGGGCACCCGCTAACTCCTCTTCAGTAGGAACTATGGATCCACAACAGCTTAAAGCTGCAATTCAGGCTGGCGTAAACCATGCCCTAGCAGAAAGGGCCGGCAAGGAAGAAGAAATGTGCCAAACCATACAGCAGTTGGCCGCTTAAGTGGCAGCGGTGCAAATCGCAACTGTTCAGGCAGAAGCTCCAGAAATCAAATTTTTTGAACCCATTGATATCAAAGGCAATGTTCAATGTAACGAGCCCGTAGATGCCGCTAAATGCCTGCCCGAATTTGCGGGGGCACAAGAGACATTTGGGTCTTGGCGGCAAGCGGCAGTAGCCGCATATTACATATTTAGGAATTATGTTGATAGCTCACCCCATTACTAGGCGGTGGTCATAATTAGGAGTAAAATAAGAGGCCCAGCCGATACAGTGCTATCCTCGTTTGGCACGATATTGAATTTCGATGCGATCATAGACCGTCTCGATTTCACATACAGTGAAATACAAGCGACAGATTCATGTCATCGAGCAGGAGATGGGCACACTCATACAGGGAAGTCTTACACTCCTACAATACTATAACGATGTTGAGAAAAAAACTCACCTTGCTCACAAATAAAGCTAACATGTCGTACTAAGCGTCGGCGGCAAGAATTTTATGCGACAAATTCCGGGATGAAGCGCTCCGTATATTTATTTCGGACCTCAAGCGCAGTCTCTCCGATGTCCTCTTCTCCGCAAAGCCGAAAGACATGCCAAATACGTTGGCATTGGCTCAAGAAATGGAATCAAACCATGAAAGATACAGTTTCGTAACATCGTTTGCAAAGAGCCTGGAGGATAGGGATAGGAATCAAATTCCAAAAGCGCAAGAACTCCAACAAACTTCCTACCAAGCGCACCCCCAAGTAAGTGCGGGTAAGTAAGTACAGCACAGGTCCACTCCGCACCGCACGACGACAGGCGTAGTGAAAACACGCCAATGCCCATGGAGGTTGACCCTTCAATGTTTAGGATACTCAAGCCATCTCGGCTTACCAAAACAGAAAGCCGGCCGTGTCCAATCGATCCGGCCCGCACAAGAGGCGGAGGGTCAACCACGTCACGCATAGCGCAGGCGAAACTGAGGAAAAATACACCGTCCATACGAATGATTGAAAGGCGTCCGCCCGGTAGAATCGCCATTCACGATACATTCTATCCATGGCGTTACCACCATCACTAAGAAGTGCTTTGTCTCCTTTTTCAACTTGAAGGCCACGTTATTCATATTACCAGATTTGTTCTCCTTCGATGCCATAATTGGCCTTGACCTGTTAAAACAAGCAACGGCATCGCTTTGTCTAGCTTCCAGCCATCTCAAATGGGGCTCCGAAGTAGAAAAGTAGAAAGTAGATTGCTCGGACGCGTCGCCACCAGCTACAGAGGCCTTTATCAAAATGCTTGGCGAACGCAAATGGCACAATACAAGTCAATGTCCGCCTACAATAACTCAATATGAGTAGTAGACAAAAAGGGCACTGACGAAGCTTTTTAGGCTTTATTGTCCAGACCCAGAAAAAATTGAGGCCATTCAGGAATTCTCCGAACCCAAACATATATATTCGAGTGGAGATCATTCCTTGGCCTTGCCAGTTATTACCGATGCTTTATTAAAGATTTTGCACTAATAGCTAAGCCCGTCTCCGATATTCTTAAAGGGGAGCATGGAATTGTCAGGCACAGATCCAAAAATATCCTGGTGAAATTTAGCGAGCATCAACGGCTTGCTTTCCTAAAGTTGCGTAACATTCTGGCTTCAGAGGATGTTGTCCTCAGCTATCCTGATTACAAGAAGGCATTCGATCTAACGACGGATGCCTCGGAATACGGCATTGGCGCGTTGCTATCCCAAGAGGGATGGCCCATTACTTTGATCTCGAGGACCCTTAAGGACCAAGAGGTTAACTACGCTACTAACGAGCGTGAGCTATTAGCCATAGTTTGGGCACTGGCCAATCTACGCCATTACTTATATGCAGTAAAAGATATAAATATCTATACTGATCACCAGTCATTGACATTCGCACTATCGGAATCCAATCCGAAGGCGAAAATAAAACGATGGAAAGCTCGCATCGACGAGTCCGGCGCTAAAATGTTTTATAAACCGGGTAAAGAGAATCTAGTTGCCGACGCACTCTCGCACTGTCACGGAGGAGCAAGAAGCTGAATCGTCGAACACAATCGAAACGACGGAAAAGCCCTTGAATTGCTTCCAAAATCAAATAACTTTAGAGGGGGCACGCTTTCCGTTAAAACGCAGCTTCATCCTCATTGAAAAAAAGAGACGACATACGATCAACTTCTCTTGCAAAGAGTCATTACTTGATGAGCTCGCAGACATAATCATTCCTAAGGGCGTAAACGCCATCTATTGCGATTTGTATGCGCTAGCGCTACAAGACGATTTGGTTCGCAATTTCCAACCAGAGATCCTCACCGTCGAACATAACTGGGCCGAATAATTCTTTTCAAAAATGGACAAATTAGCTACCGAAATCGTAGAGAATTGTTAGACTTGTGCAAAGGCCAAATACGACAGGCACCCAAATCTCCTCTCATGTAGGAGAAATGCTACATTTCAACATTTTCTCTACAGATAAAAAATCTCTTGTGGAACTTGCTCGGTGCTTAAAAATTGACAAGGGAACAAAAGACACTGTGGAACTCATTTTACTACCCACCACCAGATATAACAAATCGATTCACTTGGTCGATGATACACGAGCAGCCGACATCGTGCAGGCGCATCCGGATGACCCACAGACGGAAATACAAAATAAAATCATAAAGGCCCAGAACACACTGACGACCAGAGAAAATGCCTCCCGGCAGAACAGGGTGTTTGAGGTTGGCGACAACGTCTTAGTTAAATCCAACAGGAGACTAGGTAACAAACTCACACCCTTGTGTGAAGAAATAACCGTCGAAGCGGACATGGGGACATGGGGACCACAGTCCTCATTAAGGGGAGGGTGGTGCATAAGGACAACCTCAAATAGTCCGAGCAGAACCCTGACTTCCGTTCTCTCTTCATTAATAATAATAATAGTTAATTATATGTTTTTTTACTCCTTAATATAATTGGTTGTGGGAAATCCTTTCAGAACAAATATTACTTTTAAAACGCACATTACAGGTTCACACCCTTGCATTTCCTCTTTTTCTTGGCCGGAACATCGGCTTACATCTCTGACTACTCCTAGGTCAATTCGATTTTGAAAGCTGCAAAAAACACACAAATAGGCACAAGTCATTTGTATGAGATGTTGTTAACCCGTAACAGAGTTATTGTCATGGAGTTGCAAAATCTTATGCTCGCCATAGCACTCGCTAAAATAAAAATTATTAGTCCAAGTATCTTTGACCACGCAGATTTGGAAAATGTATGGAAAGAACAAAGAGCTCCAGTTTCCCCTTACTAAACATCACCGAGAAACACGATGTGCTTAGCCTCCCGTACCTTCACCGCTTAAGTGAAAGAAACCTGAAGATTATAATGGCGTTCCGAGAAGAGATCGACAACAACAAAACACATCTCGCAGCAATTATTGTAGGAGCAACATGCTGCGCGCTCATCTGCATTGGCCTCACCTATCAAAGACTGACTAGG